ACCACATCGTCTACAAAAAACATTGCACGCCTCTACAGCGAATTTCTACTTTATTTTTTGTCCAGTTCATCATCATGCGTTGCTATTTAACCTATATTGGCGCCACTGTTCGATCACAAAGAATAATATAAAAAAACACCTCGCAAATGATCGCTAAATTTCGTGTCGAGACTCAAGTAAATTACGTTTTTACCTCTCCCCATCCAAAGTGCTTTAGACATGTCAAGAAAAGACCAGTCAGTTTTTCACTTAAAAAGATCTTCAGAAGAATTCCACAATTCGGAAATCATCATTGTCACAGTGAAAGTGCCCGATCCTCATGCAAGTGTGCATCCTTTAAAAATTCTAATCAACTCCTTTGTTGTAGTACCCGATGCTCCATGGAATGTTTCTGCAGTTGCACTTTTATCAACGACAGTTCAAGTCTCCTGGTTTGAACCTGTGTATCTTCGAGGAATCCTGTATGACTACAAAGTTAGATACAAAATCGTCTCTGCAAGTAGCTACTTAAGCACCATCTCTGCAGGGACTAAAACGAAGCTTACAATTTCATCTATGCAGCCATCCAAAGATTACCAATTTCAGGTAACATAAGTTGCGAATTATCAGCACATATTAATTTGAGCTCTAATCGTTTTACTTCAGCAAAACGGTAATCATCTTGTCTTTTACCTGCATAATATTTACAAGTGAAAATACTTTCAGGTATGAAATTGAAACGGTTTACAAGTTTTATTGTAATGTGTTCTATACAAATTCTTTTCAGCGTTGAATATTTATCATTGTAGGTGGCAGCGACAGTAAAAGGTGGGACAAACTTTGGGCAATGGAGCTCTGTGGTGACAGTTAAAACACACGAAGGAAGTACGTAATACAATTTTGCGTTTGTATCAAGAATAGAAGCTATACCAGTCATGTGTAAAATCGCTTTATAAGGATGCCCAAAATTAGATGTTTTTAAGGTTTTAAGCGTTTTATTTTAGTATCGATTTTAGTTATAATCTTTCATGACAAAATTACATCGTAAACCCCGAAGTTGGTTGATTTCACAAAGTTGCAATACATCATGTGACTTGATTTTTTCATAGAGAATCAAAGTTCATGTTCTCTGATATCCTGTGTGATTGCTTTAGTGTCTCGAAAATCCTTCGAGTCGATTAGTTTTCATTAACGCAGAGAAAGAGACATGACTGTATTTTCAATGCACACAAAATCAACAATCCAGATTTGCAACAAGGTTATGAATGTAATCAGATCGTTCTAAACGTATTGCATTGTTTTAAACGTAGTTTTTTATTTTTTTTTATTTCCACATAAAATTTTTACAAAACATGCACAAATCTACCAGACGATATCACAGGGAGCATTGGAAAACACAGCAACCCTGTGGTATTTTCATTCAACATATTAAACTGAATAAACTACAATTTAAAGATACAAAATGAACGAAAAGAAGAAAAAGAAACTATTTCAAGAAAAAGGAGAGGAGAGGGGAAATATGTTGTTTGTATCATCAATTTATTCAAAATATTTAGAGGCCTGAATATATTTTAGCGTTGCAGCGAGAATTTTCGAATTTGATTCGAGTGGTGATTCTTCATGGCCATAGAGGATGATTTTTAGCAGATCTTCTTTTGAAAGATTTATCAGACCATGAGGCAACAATATCGCCTTTACACTGTTGAGGAGATCACATCTATCTACGTTATAATTATGGCAGAGTAGGAAATAGTGTTCAATGTCCTCAACACCGTCATTTACGGTCACAAAGGCCTCAAAGTGTTATTTGAATTGTGCATAAATTTATGGAAATCTAGCTTGCTGAGTCCAACATATGACTGGGTTAAGATGGATAGGCCATGTGGGTCATGAATATTGTAAACTGGTTTATGAGGTGGACGGATAATGGAGAACAATATATTTCTTGTGGAAATCCAGTCAAACTAGCACTAATTGGATCGATTTGATTCAAATTGAATAGTCCGACTTACATGTAATAAATCTGAAGTGAAACTAAACAAATGAGTTAAACTTTTTTTTCGATTCGCTTCGATCTGTCGCGGATCAGTCATGTGGCCATTTTTGCACCCAAAGCGCGTGCGCAACACAAAATCTGATCCGATCCACGGATCATTTCCGTCGTGGGTTTTCCGGAGTCGGCTTTACGCAGATATTTGAGTAACGAATCCATGTTTACAATTCAAATTTATAGCATTTAATCAAATCTGATTGGGACAATGCTTTTTATCTGAGTTGCGAAACATCTGCATTATGTGAATCTGACTTATGCAAGTTTTTCTGTATTTTTTGACATTATCGAAAAAACGACCAGTCAGTTTTTCACTTGAAAGGATCTTCAGAAGAAATTCACCATTCGGAAATCATCATTGTCACAGTAATGTGCCCGATCCTGATGCAAGTGTGCATCCTTTAAAAATTCTAATCAACTCCTTTGTTATAGTACCTGATGCTCCATGGAATGTTTCTGCAGTTGCACTTTCATCAACGACAGTTCAAGTCTCCTGGTTTGAACCTGTGTCTCTTCGAGGAATCCTGTATGACTACAAAGTTAGATACAAAATCGTCTCTGCAAGTAGTTACTTAAGCACCATCTCTGCAGGGACTAAAACAAAGCTTACAATTTCATCTATGCAGCCATCCAAAGATTACCACTTTCAGGTAACATAAGTTGCGAAGTATTAGCACATATTAATTTGAGCTGTAATTGTTATACTTCAGCAAAACGGTAATCATCTTTTTTTTACCTGCATAATATTTACAAGTGAAAATACTTTCAGGTATGAAATTGAAACGGTTTACAAGTTTTATTGTTATGTGTTCTATACAAATTCTTTTCAGCGTTGAATATTTATCATTGTAGGTGGTAGCGACAGTAAATGGTGGGATAAACTTTGGGAGATGGAGCCTTGTTGTGACAGTAAAAACACACGAGGGAAGTACGTAATACAATTTTGCATTTGTATCAAGAATAGAAATTATACCAGTCATGTATAAAATCGCTTTGTAATGCTGTAAAAACTTAGTTGTTATTAAGGTTTTGAGCGTTTTATTTGAGTATCGATTCATGATCATAACCTTTCATGACAATATTACATTGTAAACCCCGAAGTTGGTTGATTTCACAAAATTCCAATACAACATGTGACTTGATTTGTTTCAAAGTACATACCCTCCTTTAGAAGTATTAACGTAATTGCCAAAAGTGGCATCGATGAAAAAGCACTTTGTATATTTCCAATGTACTTTTTTTCCTTCTCATGATGTTATTTTCTTCCTTCCTAAAAAGGAACATGTATGTTGATGTTCCTTACTGACCTTTTCATTAGGGACGAGGGAGTGGCTGTGCAACACACCCCCTTCACTCATTTTTTGCCTTTTCTCTGCTTGAAACACGTAAATTGATTTGCACGTTGTTCATTAGTTTCTTTTGTTGCTTTGTTGAATTTACCCCCGTCAAGTCCAATAAAAAACAATTTTGTCCCGTCAATGAAGCCCATCCTATTGACATAACTCGGTCCTATTTTCAGTAAGGTCACTATTAATACTTATTTATTACTGATGTTCCATTGTCAACAGAACCAAGCCAGCCGCAGAATGTGAAGCTTTCTAGTATCACATCTTCTTCCGTTCTTGTCAACATCACTAAGCCATTACGAGAAAATGGAATCGTTAGAAATTATACTGTAAGTATAATCGATGCATCTAATGTACTGAATAAAGCCAATTGCCAGTATTTGGCCATCAATATAAAGTTTTTTTCTTTACAAATTGTCTGGTGACACCATTTTTTGTAGAATATTTGACGTATAACGGCTTTGATAGTAGATGTATCCTTGAAGACTTTAATAATGTGATCCAATTTTTTGAGCTCCCTTGATTCACATAAATTTTCAGGTGAGGTATTTAGGCAGAAAATCTTACAACAGCACCTTTGAACACAACGGTTTTATAACAGTTGTTCGGAGATTCCATTCAGAATTTACTTCTAAAACGCTGAGCAACCTCGTCCCGGCTACAAATTACACAATCGATGTTGCTGCAGTAACAGGAGGTGGAAGGGGTCTCTTTAGTGAAAGGGTTACCTTTGAAACAAACTACGCAGGTATTTATTTTTTTAATTAGCAATAAAGAATGTTGCAGGATCCAATGCATAAACTAAGGCTTTATGTGCACAAATGAATTTCGAGTAAAGATTGATTTGTTTTAGCTAGGTTTGTTGTCTATGGTAAATTTCAATGACGTTTCTATTAAACTAGTATTATTGAGCAATGGTGTTTTGCTTATGAGTATTTACCTGAAATCCTCCTCGGGAGCACAATGCCTCTGCCCTTCCTTGGCTAAAAATTATTAGAAAGCTTTAATTCTTACAGGTTTATTGCAAACAGACCCGAATAATTCATAATTTTATTTTACAGTTTTTTGTATTTTTTTGAATGTTTATGTCTATAGTCTATAGTCAGGTTAATTTTTTTTCCCGTTCGATTCTTATATCAATTTTAGTGTTTATCAATAAGATCATTATTTTTTCTCATTTCATATAACTTTTTTCATATAACTTTGGTTATGTTCGTAGAGAAATGTGCTGAAATAGCCTCTAAGTTATTATCACGCTTTGTTTTTTCTTGTTTTTTAACCCGTTCTTATTTTCAAAATCAAGTTTTCATAAAACCATTTTTAAAGATAAAAGCACAATTTAATGTTTCTGTGAATTTTTTATGTAATTTTAGCCTCGTTAAAATGGCCATTTCTTTTAGCCCCACCAAAACCAACAATGGAAAATCAGGGTTCAATCGGAAGAAAACTCACAGTAAGAATTGGTACTGCAAGCGATATTAATGGACCAATAAGGTTTTATTTATTTTCATTACATTTCTCTTTTCTTCTCACGGCTTTTTTTCCGTTGTCCATAAAATTTTTATGCCAGATATCTACTTGGTGAATTTCTGTGCAATTTGTTAATAAACAGAAAAATATCGTTCATTTTGGATATGCTGAACGTCTTTGCACATTCATAGTTTTTTGTTTTTTTCCTTTGCTATAAATATCTATTTGGTCAAATTTTGAGCAAGAAACAGATTTTGTCAAAAAATTATATTCTTTATTCTAAATAATGTTGAATGTTTTGGTACATTATTAGATTCTTCGTATTCTTTTTCTTTTCTATGAACAGCGAATACCGGCTGTCTTTTCTGGAAGGAAATGCAATTACTTGTCAACAAAGCAGTTCTGCAGAGACAATTGTTCCTTCTAAACTGCCATTAAAGCTTGAGTTTATACCTGGAATGAAATCAGTTGCACATATTTCGACGGAGCTTAAAACATTGGCAAATTACACCATCTGCTATCGTGCTGCAACAACCAACAAGGTGAATACGATATTAATCAGATTCCTGTTACTGTATGTTCATTTAGAACCGCTATAGCAAAGAAGTAAAGACTAGGATCATGTGTCTGTCTTATTTGAATTGCAATAGATTCTTCCCATCGAAGGGTCTTTCAATTAATGTATGAAGGAATTTTAACGGTTTTTAGTTACGTAATAACCAAAGCAAGCTCTCTGGTCTAGTGTAGCAATGCAAAAATAGTTTAATGTTATGCTTGTAACTTGCATTTCAATATTTATTTTGTTGAGCGTTTTCTTGAATGGCAAGAAAGTAATGATCGAGGGTTTGCTTAAAGGAATTCAGATAGAAAATGAGAGAAGTATAACTTATCAATTGAATTCAGATAGAATGTGAAACTGGCTTCAAAAGCAAGGGGGTAATTTTAAGAATAAATGTCAGGAACTAAGCAACATGACAAAGTGAACTGAATATATGGAAATAGATATTTATAATGAATTGAATCCAATTAATATATAATATAGGAGAATTGTCCATGTAGAGGTGCTTTGACGTCAAGTTTTAAAACCTGTCAGAAAATAAAGGATGACTCTTTGTCGGAAATTGGGCTTTTGCACCTTGAGCAAAAGAGCTAGCAACGACTTTTCTCATGTAACACCCTTCCACATAATCTAAGGCCCTGCTCACACGATCCCGGGATCATTTCGTATCGGATCTCTTCACATATCGGATAGGTCTTCTGTTCACACGATGACGCATGAATACGATACGCTCCGTATCGTTTTTGTAGAGTCAAATGGGATCACTTTGGAAAGAAATCATATCGGATCACTTTTGATCTCGCTTGAGAGCATGAATCCGATAGTATTGAACTTGCTCGAATATGAAAGATGCACATTTATTGAAGGTACATTTGTTTATATTTCCCCAGGATATAGCGTATTACAGTCAATTTACAAGCACGATTATAGGTAAGTTTGCCACATTGAAACTTTGTACATTTAAATATTATGCCGATGCATTATTATTGAAGGCCAAATCTAAATTGATATATTTTTAAAAAAACTGTCTAGTTATTGCATTGAGCGTAAAGCTGAGAAATGTAAGTTACAACATCCCTGTGCATTAAACCAGGGCGTTTGTCTTGAAATATATTTGTTGATCTGATTAATAAAATTTGTTTTGTTCTTCATTTTACATCTTTTATATCTTCACGTATTCCCCTTTTGCAGTTTACAGGCCCCAATTTAATATTTGGTACTTTTTGAAATTTAGATAGATACCGTGTTTATTTTCTTGTCTTGAGTTATTCACGTTCCTGAAAGTTTTATCAATTTGATTTAACAGAGAGAAAACATTTAGAAAAACTGAACGTAAATATCTTCAAAAGCGAAGCGAAAGACATTTCATTCGTTATTCCCTTGAAAAGAGGACCAGAAAATACCAAGTAAGGAACTCAGTCTGTTTTTACCATGTTTTCACGAAACTCTTATCTTATTTAATAAAAAAGTATTCTGTTTGCGCTTATATCTGGCTCATTTTCTCTTTATTGAATTTAATAGACGAAAGACATATTTTGCTCCCTGATAAAACTATGGTACATCATTCTTTTTGCAATTTTGACTTTTCATGAAACTTCCATCTTAATATGATTTATATCAAAATCATGTGTTTACAGGAAAGGTCAGAAATTCAACGCTTAAGATAAAATATTTTACAAAAATCTAATCATATTACAATTCTACATGACGTATCATCGACGTTTTGAATTCGATTTCATCAGTGTCATTTTTATCCAAGAGAGTACCACATTATTGTACTGGAAACAGGAAACTCATCAAAAGTCAAAGATCCCCTTGACTGGAAGCCAAGTGAACTTGGACCATATGACTCTTCTACGCATATTAGCAGCACACCTTACATAACAGGTGTCTTGTACAATTACGTTGCGAAATTTGAGATTGGCAATGGGAAAGAATATGAGTCATCTGGTCGAAGGAGGAGGAATGCCGATCAAGTAAAGTATATCAATGCACCATTGAAGCCAAACACAGAATATGTTGTCTTCCAGAGAGCTTATCTTTCAGCGGTAATCTGCTTCAGAGAGCCTATTTCTTCAATTGTAATTGTAATAATTTTGATGATAGTTAGATAATTTTATAAAGTAGCATATGGTTGCTGGACAATAAAAACTATAAAGTTCAACTTGAGATCGTCTTGGTCCTGGTCTATTTAAAAGCAAGATAAAAGTGTGTAAAACTATATCATACAGCAACGAGCACGGCACAAACCAGAAAACAATCTTCTTCGTTAGATCAAGATAAGAGATACTTTACTTTAAAGTCATGATGCAATTTGTCTTTACAACTGCTATCAGATAATTCATTTGCTGGAATTTATGCCCCCTTCCATGTGCTGTTAGTTACTTCAGTTCAAAAAATTGTTTCATTTTGCAGGGTATTTATTTCTCTTCGCCGTGGGCTGGACCATTCAAAACAAGTAAGTTATCGTATCATTTTATGCTAGTAACATCTTTCAAGTTTCTTACTGTAGAACCGTGCATTTTTCGCCATTTTACTCGTGGGAGCTTCACAGTGTAAGCACGGCTTTTAACCCAGTTTGATGTTCGTGCCTTCTCTTCAATGTTCCGTGCTATGATAACTTTGCCTTAACTGCTATCTCCGATGACAACGGCCGAAAATATTGTTATATTAACATTATGTCTGTTTGTTTATTAAAGTGTGGAATGAGTTTTCCAATTATGACTGGAGTTTCTTTGTAGAAGAACCATTGAAATCAGAACCAGGCGAAACCAGATCGATTGAAATTATTGTCGGGATAATAGTTCCAGCAATCATTGTGCTCGCCTTAGCTGTTGCAGTTTGTTACATAAGGTATGCTTCTTTCTTTATCAAAACTTAAAATGTAACCCGTCAGATATATTCTATGTTACAAGCAAATAAAGCCAGTAAATTTTTTAACTTTTGAAATATAATCAGCATTCGTGTTTCAGCATTCTTTTCCTTTGGATTCCTCTGTTTCTGACAACATTTACTTTCTTTTACATAAGAAATAATTTCTGGAGCAATGTATGAGCCTGCCTAGAACAATTTGCTGAGACAAAAGCAAATTATTTAAGAAATTTGTTTAAAACGGATGCCTTTTTGACTAATCAGAAATATGCGCGTATAGGATGGACAAGATACAAAAACGTGCCCTTATATTTCTTAAAAGTGGTAATGTCAGTTTGTAGAACGATCTCCTCCTGATGTCACAACGACGTACGATGCATGTTGCCAGAATTAGTTTGCTTTCTTTGAAAATATTGAAATATTTAATGATCCGAATCCATCTTTCATAAAATATATCTTTCAAAATAGAACCTCTAGTTATTCATAACGAAACCCCTTATAATAATTCTTATCACAGGCCAGATAAGGTTACGTTCGACACAAACATTTCTTAATTTTTGGGACAACAAAATTGGAACTTCTTGTAATTAATACAAAGAACATCAGAAAAAATTGTCAATTTATTTGTTTTATTTTGATTGATTATATCTACATCGATTATTATTATTATTAATTGTTCGGCACATTTTAATGGTATGTTAAAAATTAGCAAATCAAATCTTTTAAGTTCCTGCTTTTGACAATCAACAAGCCTGAGGTTCATCAAATTTAATCTCTTATTTGCATACAAACCGATAAAACAATGTAATGAAAACACTGTAATTTCTACAACAGAAAGCGACGATCCAAAAGGCCAACAATTCAAGAAGGTGGTTTGGCAAAGGACGGTGTGCCTCTTTCAAATTTACATGGCCAGATCGAGAATCCATCGTATGATCATGAGTATGAGAGTTTGAACAACGTAAGAGCCTCTGCTGCTATGGAGGAGCCCAGCATAGTTAGTAGAGGAAGTTCAGGTAATATCAAATTATTTTTTCAAGTACTTTCTGCCCTGAACCAGAATCTTCGGTGCCGGCCATTTTAAAATCTTCATTTTGTGGACCTGCCATGTTATAATGCTATCCTTTTCGCTGAGAACGTTAAGTTGTTAAAATCAAATAGCTTAGATTTGAAAAAATAGGTTCAACAATTTAAGTTATATTTTGTTTAAATCAAACTAAACCGAAACTAAACTGAGTTGAACAGGAAAGTAAACCGAAATGTGCCATAACATAAAAATCGTGATCTTTTTCAAAAGTGCCTTAGAGATAAAGCTAATTGAAGCTTTCATCTTTCAAAAAATCCTGGAATTATGCCGGTTGCTTTGCAGCTGTTGCGCTTTTTCTTTGACCATTTGACTTTTCAATCATTATATTGCACTTTTTTTTAACCATATTTTACAGAGATGGTAATTTATAACCACCCAAATCTTAACAAATTGCATACAAACAATCTTTTGGTGGTACAAAACTTGAAAATGGCTTTGAAAAAAGCAAACATTTAGTAAACTAAAGCTTTCATCTGACACTTTTCAGAGTTTAAAATGTCAGAACATAGATCGAAAACTCTACGCTAGGAAATATATATAGCCAGTTGTGGATAATAGGCCAATCAGAAACGCCAGCACATGACTGTTGAGGCTGCCCAATCAGTGCCACTTGCCTGAAGAGAATGTTACCAATGGAGTTCTAAGGTAAAAACGAACTCCTTTTGTCTACAAAATAGCGGTTTTCGTGCTAATGTAGATAGATTCTAAAATTGCTAGATGGAATGACGATCGGGCTTTACCAATAATACGAAACATTTCGCCATTATAGTTTTTTGCACCATCTCGGTTTTCCAGTAAATGCTGCCCGAAAGCAGAATCGCAGGTTTTAGTTGTACTTTTAGATCTGTATGACTGAGATTGCTGTTCCCTTTGGGGGTGGGTTCTGTTTCTATTACTAGACGGAACATGCTGTTTTATTCTATCCTCCAATCTTTGGGTAGTGCGTCCTACGTAGCCAGAATCACATTGGCACGTAAATTGATATACAACGGAACTCTTTTGTGACGCAGGTACACACTCCTTTTGAATGGAGGAAAGGGCCTTTTTTACCATAAACAATGCGTGAATTCACGGTAAAGAAACAATTTGTTATGGGCTGTTTTATCTGTTTTTTTAAAACGCAAGGAACTGTTGTCGATCCAAGGTAGTTTCAGATATACCTGGCACTTTTGGGGACCAAATTTTACGTCAGCCGAGAAATTAGCCTTTTTCGCCTTAATGTAAACTGAAATGACATCATAAGCTGTTCTAAAAAAAATCTTGTTTAGTTGTTCAAGTTCCGAGTCGAGTTTAGACTTGGAATAAATCATCAGTGCCCAATGAGTTAGCGTTTTGATAAGGATTTTTTTCCTTTGTTTTGGGCAAAACGAATTTCATTGAGTGTATTATATCCCCAAAAAGGCAGGTTTACGATATACACATTGTTAGGGAGATAAGTTAGGGTAAGTCCGCAAGGTGTAGGTGCGCATGTGTTCTTTGCATTTTACGTCAGACAGGCAAAGGAGGGAAGTTTGAAAAAATAAACAACGAAGATCCAGCATTGTTCTAGTAGGTTTAATGCGCGTGCGTACCTACTCCTCGTAGCTAATCAGTTCGGATAAACCACTTCCGCTTGTGTTCTAAACAATGGAGCCGCAATCTCGTCTCCACAGGTAACGTGTTCCCAACAACACAGGTAAGAAATCCAGTGCCAGACTTTTCAACCAAAACATCTAGAAACGGCAAGGAGTTATTTTCTTCCTTTTCAAATGTAAACTGTAGGGCTAGGTGAAGCCATTAAGGCGTTTGATAAAAATATCACACTCAGCCTCTGTTTTGAAAAAAGGTAAATGTGTCATCCACATATCGAAAATAGACACCTGGCTTTTGGTCGTAGTTGAACAAACGTTCTTCATAAAAGCCAACAAAGACATTGGCCAGCCCAGCCCAGGTCCCAGAGGGCTACCCATAGCGACATCATCCTTTTGTTGGTACATTTCATTGTTAAAGCTGAATTCAACTGAACGTGTTGCAGTTTCCATCAGTTCTATGAATATTTCCTCTTGGAATGGTGGGCTATTAAGCTCGCTCCGGTACAAAGGGTCGGCGCATATTTTGATGGTCTCACTCAAAGGAACATTTGTGGAAAGACTGCTAATGTCAAAAGAACACATGGAAGATATTTCGTTTTTGATGTTCAAGTTTTCCATGAACTCAGCGAACGTAAAAGATTCCTTGATACAACGGTTGGAATATTTTTGAAGAACAAGGTCCAAAGCTTCAGAAAGCCACTTAGCCAATTAATGTTGTGTTGAGCCAATCATAAACAAGATGGAACATTTAGCTTATGTATTTTAGGGAGGCCAAACATTTCTGGACGTTGTGGACCTGTGGGTCTTATCCTATCGTAAACTTGTAATCGAAAATGTTCTCTATGCAAAAGAAAATCTGAGTGGTCAACGGGAGAACCGCTGTAAGCGTATGCCAAATCGCTTAATCGAGCTCGTAATTTGTTAAATTCCAAAGCATCAGAAATATCGTGCCTGGCAAGTTGCGCGTGTAAAATCTCGAATTCAGCAAAAAGTTCCTCTCTGTTTATTCGTTATGGTGGGATACAAAACTCAAGACCGTTACCTAAGACATTTGTTTCGGTTTCAGAGAGAGAATAATCCGACAAATTAAAAATATGTTTTTTTGAATCGCTCATCAAGCCGCCAAAACGTTTCCTAACTAGCATACCAATATTCCTATCATGTTTTTCTGTAGTCTGTTTAAGTGTCCACTGATCAATTTCAGAAATGTAGCGGCAAAGACGAAAATTGTCAAAAAATGTGAGAAACGGACGCGTTTTAGACCATTGGCGTGTATACAAACGTTTTAGATTCAGAATATTAGTTTTAGTTTTCTGAATTTCATCTTGTAGAAAAGCGCGCTCAATGGTTGGGCTGTGTCTAGCAACAGACTTAGAAATATGAGCGGTCTATGTTCTGACGTTTTAAACTCGGACGTTTACCTAAAGAGTGTCAGACGAAAAGCTTCAGTTTACTAAAATTTTTTCAACGCAATTTTCAAATTGCATACAGTTTTAAAAAGGCAAAGTGAAATGAGAATTAGCCATAAGATCTTAATATGAATATCTTAGCAAAAACTGCGGAGCAAATGAAACAGATCTTTATTTTCTCCTTGCGCAGCCAGGACTGTATAAAATAGATTCTGGTTGTATTGAAAGTCGCTAGAGGTTCACTTTTCCCGGAAAGGTTTCGGCTTAAGCGTCTGTTTTAAGTAGCTTAACTTGTATTCAGAAAGGTTTGCGCCTCACAATTACAGAATATATTACTCTGTTAACACTTTTTTAGAACCCATTCAAATGAGTGAAATCAATGACATTATTTGGTAAGAACGTAAGCGCAACTCTCATAAAGAGCCCATCAGAGGTATACTTCTGGTATATTCATAATATTGAAATATCGACTTTTGTTTAATATTGTTGAATTTTTACAAGTGTAACATTTTTGCTTTTATAGATGAAGCTGTAAAATTGAGAAAATTTCCTCGTAAAGTTGTAATCGATCAAGAATATCCTCAAGTTTCTGTTCAGGACTTTGTTCGACGTGCAACAGAGTCACAAAAGCGTAACTATCAAGGGATTATCATGGAGTATGAGGTGATCAATAAACCCAGCGTTTAAATTTCTTTTCAAGGTCCTGGTTTTAATTAAACAATAATTAGCATTCGAATTTGATGCATTGAAAGGAGTAAAATTCTGCAAAGATGACGTTAATGTTTATACTTTATTACCTATGCTCGCGTTTTACCGATTGGTCAATTTCGATGCACAACTAGGTATATATTTACCACCTTGTTCTTTGGAGCCTTTCTCTGACGTTTTAGTCTCTGAGGAACAAAATTTTTTCGATATAATCATAGAAAAAGCCTCAAATCAGCTGTAAAAATTTTGCTTTTATTAAAGCCATTCTCAAATTTTGCAAAGTCAAAAAAATTATCTATGTTGTATTTAATCACAGTTTCATTATGCTTTGAATTTATTTACAGAATCTTGACAAGAAACAGCAGTTTCCTTGGGATATTGCTACAGATCCAGCCAACCAACAGAAGAATGTGCATGCCGATATATTCCCATGTATGAGCTTTCTACTAAGATGACAACCCTATTTATAAATAACTAATCTAATCTTTAAACTTGAAACTACTTTCTCTTACTAATCATTTAATTTATTTCCTTGTAACAATCAAGCCAGCTTTAGACTTATTGTTTCCTGCTTCATGTTTTGCGCTCTTTTGCACAGTTCTGGTATTACTCGATCTTGTTTTGAGTAAGGCGAAGCACATAGCTGAGTAGATTATCAGAATACAAGACTTCTTGGTAGAAGTTACTAATAGTAGATCATTATCACCAAACAACAGCCTTTCTTTCACGACTGAAGCCTATATGTTCTTAAAATTAATTAACTCACCTACGCAGTATTAAATTGGAATATATTTCTTGAGTTAACCATGCACGTGATGAGCTTTTCTTTATTTGTAGATGACCATTCAAGAGTACACCTGAATACTCTACCTGAAGATCAAAATTCCGACTATTTTAATGCAAGCCA